CAATGGTAATGAATTTTTAGTTAAGGGATCATAGCTGCACGTTTTAATGAGTTGAGGGACCAATGGTAATGGATTTTTATTTGAGGAACTATTGCTCCAATTGAGTTAAAATTAAGGGATCATTGCTACAATTTACTCAAGATTAAAACATATAATATTGTGTATCAAATTTCAAATATCGCCACTTTAACATCTTGTTGCATATAAATCACTCTTCGACCAAAATATACAATCAAACCAGACATATGAACATATATATGTCCCACAACATATATTGGGAGATAAGTCCAAAATATATAAAGTCTAATAAAATAACACCAATTGTGGTCTATAACTCTACTAAAGAAGATAATTTTTGCCTTTTTTTTATTTAATCTACACTACATAAACATGCATGTTCTTCATTACGAGCAGGGAAATGGAAGAAAACAAAGGTTTCCAGGACCCGACCTGGCCATCCTGCCTAACCCGAACGTAAAGATGATGAGATCCTTTCTTCCTGAGTCGACACGTCATATGTTTGAACAGAACACAAACGGGGTACACGCCCTATACATGTTTTTTCCCCTTTTCTTTTGCATATATAATATAATATATATACACACAAACACATACACTTCAGAGTTGAGAGCAGTACAAAACCTATATCCGATAAAATTGAACTGCCTCCCTCCCTCCTAGCTAGATTTCTCTCTTCTGTTTCCTCCCAAGAGTCCAGCTGCTGAGAGACAGATGGGAGAAAGAGATAAAGAGATAATAATAGAATCCAAATCTGTTATATATATGTATGTATGTATGTATGTATGTATGTATGCAACACCAGAAAATGAAAATGATCGATCTGAAATAATTCACTACCATATTACAATACCAAATATAGACCAGAATGACACACATGCAAATGCAATAACTCGATCGATCCATCATGTATTGACGGCTTGTACCTAAAAAATGGGCTTCTTCATCGAGTTATAAGGAAGGTTGGGTCCCAAGGTTTACAAGCTGGAATTCTAAATTCCTAGCTGTACAACTCCGAGTTGCAGCCATCTCATTTCTCATATCTCTGTGTGGATATCGGAAGAAACCAAACCCCTTGGCCCTTGCCTTGACTTGTAGACCCCCGCATGAGTCCAAATGGTCCCCAACCTATGGGAGCAAGAGCAACAAACTTAGCCTCCATTATTGTCTAGTATGTCCCCATCCCATAATAATCTCATTCCAACAAGAATTTAATATTTTCATCAATCATCCCCCATTCTTAATGTTAATTACATCATCGACAACTATATTTTCAATGGGAACCATTGTATTGACCTTGCATTTGTTTTAACCCAAAATATTGAAACAAAGCTTCAACACAATAATGAATACAAAGCTTCAAAAACTTCATTGTATTTTAGGGATTGTTTCATAACCATTTTGCTTTTTGCTTTTTATTTTCATTTTGTCTTCATTCATTTTTTTTATTTATTTTCATCCTTCACACTACTCTTCTTTATCCTTCCTTCCTCCCATATACTTTTTTTGTACCTCAAACACAACATCTAAAAACGAAAAATAAAATAGTCATCAAACCTGAACTTTATTTTTTTGAAAAATGCAAATTAAGGGAAGGCATAAAATTCTCATATATAATAACCAATGTGGTGAACAATTAATGGCCTTGTAAGCAAATAATGGTGTAGTTATACCACGCCCATCTCTTATGAGTTGGAAGACTTCAAATTTCGTGTCTTCATCTCTTCATGTCTTCACGTAGGAGGAGCCCGTTAATTAGTTAGGTATAATTATTGTACTTGTTTCTCATGAATTTAATTAAAAATATATGTCGAATTTTAATTCATTTGGTTCATATAATTGTGTGTGAGTTACAAAAATGTGAGTATGATTAAGGTTTGAGTAATGCTAGGTAGACTAATTTGCAAACTAAATGATGCGTCATCAATACGAAATAAACATGTTAATCAACACTTAAGTAATAATTCAATCATCAATTCCATGTCATTTAGTTTACAAAAACATGAGGTGACTGAGAGTCCATGAAGAGTCTCACTTTGAGAATGTCTCCTTAGCATTTCTCTTGACATAATCGAGAAAGATCTATTTTTTTTAACAGACAATATTATCTACACTGAGAGGGTGGGGGAGTGGACTAAGCCTCACAATAGACTAGCAATAATGTGGTTCAAAATTGCGACTTTAAACTTCTTATTTACAAGTAAAGAGAAATACCGTAGTACTAAGTGACAATTAAGAAAGATCTATTTAGTTATGAAAAAAAAAAAAGAAACGATGCATTAATTCGTTTATGAATTTCAGTATATTAATTTATTGCCTGCGGGGAACTAGGAGGAATTATTCTAAGCTTCATAACATATTTAGGTATAGAAATATAAGCTGCTGCCACTGCTATCTGTTTATGAACTTGGGTTGGGGATCATGTGCGATATTAAAATGATTGATCCTACAATAGACACCATAATAACCACACACACAACCCCAACCCCAACCCCAATAACGTACTGAGAATGGAAGAAAAGGAAGGGAGGGCATTGCCATCGTGGTGGTGGCAGCAAGGCAAGCATTGTCCAAGAGTCTGGCTGATCTGGACACTTGGAGTGGTCCTTGAAACGCGGGACCCGACACTTGTACATATGCTTAGAAGATCACAAGGTGACGTGGCCAAGAGAATGGCAGGAATGAATGAATGATTTTCTGTGAGGTAGGGTTTGGGTTTTGGTGGGGGCACGGCGCTCTTCGCTGCTCCAGACTCGAGGCAGAGAGGAAAGGTAAATGGAAAAGGGAAAGAAGGGGAAATTAAGTTAATTATACAAGTGGAAGAGACAAAGCCCATGCCCATGCTGATGCTGGCAAGTGGCGGTCTATCCACCCATCCATTCATCCATCCATCCATATTTCATGTGCTAATAATCAAAGAAATATGAAATGTCGGTGAAAAATTATAAAGGCGAAGCAAAGCAAAAGGAAAAGCATGATTCCTGTGCCTTACAATGCAAGGGTCGCTTTTTCTACTTTCTCCCCGGTCCTATAAATTAAAATTACCTTGCTCGCTTGCTTATCATCCCACTCGATCCAATTTTATTAATCCCCCTTTCTCATTTTCTCTATTCCCTATAAAATTCTTTACATTTTACTGTTAGAATCGTCATATCATCAAATTTACTATCTTTCTCCCATTTCTTGAAATTTAGAGACAAACTTATCTCATCCTTAATCATTCATTTCGAACAATTCAAAGAACATATTCTCTAAAAAAAAGTTGCTTTTTGTACAAGCTTTTCTTTTAGTTTATGAAACTAAGTCCTACTCTCCTAAGGTCCCTAAGATTTGTGAAGACTAAATGCATATTAACCACAAAGTTATATTAGTTTAGATCTAAAGGCTTAAAATATTTGACAACTTGATAAACCAAAACAAGAAAATGAGTTTCCTAATAGTCCATGAATTTTAAGTTGGTTTTGCTTATTAAATTATCAAATATTTTAAACTTTTAAATCTAAATAAATATAATCTTATGGTTAATATATATTTGGTCCTCATAAATCTTCTAAATAAAGACATGAAAACTTGCTTTTGTATCGCTAAGAAGCATCTTATACTGGCCCAAAAAATTTAAAAAGGAAAATATCAAAGCGCCTTCACATGTCACACTATACCACACATGCAAATTACTTTTTATTTTTATATTTTTTATCGTGTAAGTTTAAATTAATAGATAAACTATACTTATTACTTAACCACCCTCTTATCAATGAATCAAACACTTAATATGTCTATCTTTAGGCGTCCTCAATTTGTTCAAATACTTAATATGTCTATCTTTGGGCGTCCTCAATTTGTTCATTCATCATTACTCTTAATCTTACTTATCCTGTAGAGTTGGCTATTAATCCATATTACCAGCCATAATAGGACAATTAATGGTCATTAATATATAACCCACAGAGCAGCGTTAAATTATATGAACGACTGCATTTGCTGCAACAAAAGATGATAAACCCTTTCTTAAAAACATCATAATTTTATAATTTTATTGGAAATTATTATTATCACTTCAAAAATCTCTTTTGAAATTTCAAACTTTCTATAATTAAAAAAAAAATTATACTTATGAAAAATAAAAAATGAAAATTTTGAAATACTAAAAGCAATTCTCAATCTCATTTTAACATCCGCTAATCAAAACATTCATGGCAAAATGTCAAGTAAATCGAATATATTATTACAACAAACCCGTACCTATCTTTTACGCCCACAAGGATGAAGTGTTGAACCCAAGAACCCGTGATAGATCACCGGGTATATCCAGTCAGAACCATGCGGTGACCGGGTGCACCCACTGTAATTGGTCATATCATAGGGTCGTAGGGTTGGGAGACTTGAGAGAGAATCTAACCACAGTGTGCAGCGAGAGGTGTGTGCTTGGTGGGGCTGCCAGCTATTAAGTTCAGAGTAATGTCATTTATACAATATTGTTGTTCTATATTTTTATATCATCGTAAATGATATTTAATATAGACAACTAATTAATAAAAATTTTAAATTTAATTTATTATTTAATAAACTAATTATTAAATAAAATTAATTAATTAAATGATGATTGTGATATACGAAGAGTCTTTCTTCTTTTTTTCTTTGGTTTTATAAATTTTTCAAATGATATAGTTGTCCACATCAAATGTCACTTCGGGTGGTATAGAAATGAAGTACAAAATAAGAAATTATTATTAGTACTCCAAAAATCTTATTTGGCACTCCAAACTTTCTATAATTAAAAAGAAAAATACATTTATTTTAAAGTGATAATAACAATTTTCTAAAAATATGATATGAATAACATTACTCTTAACTTCAAGGATCAAACCCTTTTTCTCTCTCTTTTTTATTTTATTTTATTTCTATTATCAAGAGTCAAAGCTGGCAATTTCTTTTATTAATAATTATTATTATTATAAAAAAGAGGGCTTTGTTCTCTCCACCACCTTCTTCCCCTTATAATTACTCTCCAAATTTTCGAGCAGATTTTAAATCATCGTCCTCCTCCTTCTCCTCCCTCTCTCTCCTTCTCTCATCTTCTTATTCTTTCATTTTTTTTGCTTCCATATATAAGTACGTATTTGTGCTTCCTTCCCTTCCCTTCCCTTCCCTTCCCTTCCCTTGCCTTGTTTGGAAGGGAATATTGCAGAGAGAAAAGAGAAGGGAAGAGAGGCGAGGAGAGGAGAGGAGAGGGGGTTGATGGTGAATGGTGAAGTCTCTTACAAGACATTAACAGCAACAATGACTACTACCAATTCATCTTCCTGTCTCTCTTCCACTTCCAATGAGAAGAAGCACTGGTGGCTCAGCACCCGAAAGGTATTGCTTTTCATCTTATTTCTTACTTAGTTGATTCATTCTTTACTCAATAATTATACATATACATTTGTACAGAACTCAATTGCAAAATGTTAGTTTAAACTTTGATGGTAATCTTGATTGCACAGATTGTGGAAAAGTATATGAAAGATGCCAGAAGCCTGATTGCGACCCACGAATACAGCGAGGTAGCATCGGCGGTGGGCCTTCTGGACGCGGCTCTCGCCATCTCCCCGCGCCTGGAGGAAGCCCTCGAACTCAAGGCCAGGTCTCTCCTCTATCTCCGCCGCTTCAAGGAGGTCGCCGATATGCTCCAGGACTACATTCCCAGCCTCAAAATGGCAACCGACGACTCTTCCTCCTCCTCATCCTCCGGTGGCTCTGACAATTCGTCTCAGCCGCATTCCCGTGAGCGAGTCAAACTTCTCTCCTCCAACAGCGGCAACTCGTCCTCCAGCTCGCCGGATCGGGATCCTTCCTTCAAGTGCTTCTCTGTCTCGGACTTGAAGAAGAAGGTGATGGCAGGCCTCTGTAAAAACGGCGACAAGGAAGGGCATTGGAGGTAAATTAAACCCCTCGGATTGATTGCTGCTCTGTTGTGTTCTGTTCCATTGGTTAATGCGCGTTCGATTTCTAAAATTGTTTTTCTTCTGTGTTATGCTTTTTATGACTTTACGAGTATTATTTATTTTCAGATCAGCCTTCTTGTTGTGCCTTATACGCTTCACTAATAAATGCACCTGCCAACTTTTGTAAATGAAATCCTCGATTTTCGGCCCCCAATTTCAAAAGAGAGAGAGAAAGAAAAAAAAAAAAAAAAACCACTAATCCTATTTTGTGTATTTGTTCAACTTGGTGTAACCAGTTCGGTAGGCTAGTGTGTTCGTCACTCTGCAAGTGTGGATCTTCCTTTGTAATGTTTTGGTACACTTATGTAGCTGAGTTGGAAAAATCTTTGTTCAAAGAGTACTCGGGACTTGGGGCAAATTGGACATGAGAAGGATGAATTCCAGTTGTGTTCCGGAAAATTTGACTTCCATATTTGCAGAGCCAGCTAACCAATTTTAAAAATAAATAAAATATAACCCAATTGGCATTCACATTTCGAAACCTGGTCACATCACATGTGCCCCACCATTTTATAAACTTAGGGTACCATTTCTTGCTTTAAACTAGAAAATTAATGAAAATAATTTGGAAGTTTTGAATTTTAAGATAAGAACAAAATAAAGGTTAAAATAAATAGTATCGTAATTGATTTTTTTAATATAAAAATATTATTTTTCGTTAAAATAAAAATACTGTATCTTTTCGTTAAATTTTGATGTTATTATTGAAAATAAAAAACAATTGCTAATTGAGTTAATTTACCACGTGTTGACACAGGTATTTGGTTCTGGGCCAGGCGTGTTACCACCTTGGCCTAATGGAGGACGCCATGGCTCTTCTCCAGACCGGGAAACGCCTCGCGTCCGCCGCATTCCGCCGCGAAAGCATATGCTGGTCCGACGACAGTTTCTCTCTTTCCAGCTTCAATCTCTCTAACGACACAGTCTCTTCCGCCAACGTACCCGCCACGCCTCCTAGGATGTTATCCGAGTCCGAAACCGTTACCCATCTCCTTAGCCACATTAAGCTCCATCTCCGCCGCCGAACAGCCGCAATCGCTGCCCTCGACGCAGGCCTTTACTCAGAGGCCATCCGCCACTTCTCCAAAATCGTGGACGGCCGGCGTGGAGCCCCACAGGGATTCCTGGCAGAGTGCTACATGCAGCGCGCCTGCGCTTTCCGGGCGGCGGGACGGATCGCTGAGGCGATCGCGGACTGCAATCGGACTCTGGCTCTTGAGCCGAGTTATATACAAGCATTGGACAGGAGAGCCTCACTTCTGGAGACCATCAGGTGTTTGCCGGATTGCTTACATGACCTGGAGCACTTGAAGCTTCTGTACAATTCCATCTTGAGGGATCGGAAGCTGCCGGGGCCGGCGTGGAAGCGGCACAACGTGAGATACAGGGAGATTCCGGGGAAGCTGTGTTTGCTGACGACCAAGATACAGCAATTGAAGCAGAGGGTGGCTTCAGGGGAAACAGGGAACGTGGATTACTATGCTTTGATTGGGTTGCGACGCGGGTGTTCGAGGTCTGAGTTGGAGAGAGCGCATTTGCTGCTCTGTTTACGACACAAGCCCGATAAGGCTACCATTTTCATTGATCGGTGTGAGCTGGCGGATGATCGGGATGTGGATTCAATTAGGGATAAAGCGAAGATGTCGGCTCTGTTGCTTTACAGATTGCTGCAAAAGGGTTATTCAAACGTGATGGCAACCATCACGGAGGAGGAGGCAGCGGAGAAACAGAGGAAGAAGACGGCAGCTGCATTACAGGCAGCTCAAGCCGCAGTAATTCAAGTGCAAGTGTCCCAAACCCAAGCCCAAGAATCTCGAATGGAATCCTCCTCCTCTTGTTCTTTCAATTCTAGCAATAGGAACGGTAGTAATCATAACAACAACAATACGCACTCCTCGTCAGCGGAAGCGAAAGCAGCGGCGGCAGCGTCGTTCCAAGGGGTGTTTTGCAGAGACATTGCGGTGGTGGGGAGTTTGCTGTCGCAGGTTGGATTTAACCGCCCAATTCAAGTCAAGTATGAGGCATTGAGTTGCTGATTGGAAAATTGCAAGTATATTTCCGGCGGGAAGGATCTTGCTTCAGTTTGTTTTCTCTGTACAAAAAAGCCGGGAAATTTTGTCACCATTTTTTCCATTATCCTTATCTACTACTACTAGTAGCTACTACGGTGTTGGACTGGTACATGTACAAATTTTCTACTTTTTAATTTTTCGCTTTAGCTTAAAATTGGATGCCTTTTCCTTTTATTTATTTATTTTTTTAGTTTCTTTTTGAAATTAAATATATAAATTTCATATTCGCATTTGTTGTTTTAAAATTTTGTGGATGCATCCACAAATGTAATCGTATTGAAATATTGAATGGGAATAGGGCTGGGGTAGGGTAGGGTTTCGAATACAATTCATAAAAGTTGGGGGGCCTTGGCTTCTCTGCCATGTCTTTTCAGTTGCTACTCCTCACCAAAACAATGCTTTGGTTCGCTTGAGCGCGCGCCTCATTACCCACCCGCTCGCTCGCTCACTTGTAATCAATGCTATGCTTATTATAATCGAAACTGTTTTATTTTCTTGAGCATACACTTGGCTAATAACATATAGGCAGGCGTAGGCCTTATTTTTGGTCGGATTTAATTGGAAATACATTTTTCAATTTCAATCCAAAAAGTTTTAGAAATACATATCATTTTCAATTTTGGAATTTCATAATCTCAAGATGAATTCGGTATTTTTGGAATTACATTATTCTGGAATTTCAAAATTATATGAGTTATGACTTCATCTATGCCAAGATAAAAGAAAATACATAGCATCTTCATGCTCTCTACATAATATAAAATTATATACTTCTCAAATTCTCATTTTTGTATGTATTCAAGGGAGTTGTAATTGAATAAAGAGTTACATACTTGAACGCATTGTATTTCAAATTCAAAGTAAATAAGTACATAATTAAGTATATATAATAGAGTTCGAAACATCAAATCGTATTCAGAATATTACATATATTCCAATTTTTTTTCGAATTTTGGAATTTGAATTAGACAGAATATTTTAGAGTTTTTCAGTTTGAAATATATTGAAATTTGGTATTCGTCTCCCAAGTTGCACCCTTTAATGAAATGAGTGAATACGAGCGATTATTATTGAATGGTGAGACAGAGACCAGAGAGGGAGATAAATAATGGAGATTGGAGAGATGGCAAATGCGGTTGATCCGTGGGTGGGTTAGATATTTACATGGGTGAAAGGGGGAGAAAGCACATGTGTAGGAAAAAGTTTGTCAGTCTTTCGTTTGTATTTTTCACTGCCGGAAGTGGGAAGTGGGAAATTGAAAGAAAGTGCATGGTTGGTGGCCAATCCAAGGAATCCATAGTCCAACTCCAACACACGACGCGAGGCCTGCGATGCGATGCAGAAGGAGGGTACCTAATCAATCAAACACGAAATTGAACACTCAATACAATGGTTTAGGGCATCTCTGTATGTCTCTCTCAGTCTGCTTCCTTCGTTCCATGATTCCATCCGTACACTGTTAATTTGTTCTTTTCTTTGTTGTTTCTTTCCACTCTCTTTTCTCCTTTCTCCATCCCTGCGTTGCAACCAATGCTAAAGTAAAAGAATAATCAATAATTATGCATCTCCATCTATCTCCATGTGTGAAGTGCTGGTTGGGAGGAGCGGAATGCGCTTTATTTATTTATCTGTTCACATATTTTACTTTATAAATTATTCCACTCTTACTTTGCAACCCCGTAAAGAGACGTGCCTCTTTACAAAATCAAGAAAAATGGAAATGCTACTGCTACTGCTACTGCGCGCGCACACAGATTTATATAATGATATTACAGAATCCAGATACATTCATTCAATTCATTCATGCATGTGTTCGTAAATCTAAAATACTGTTTTCAAGTAATATCTTTCATACATATATACAACCGTTTGTGTTTGTGTTTGTGTGCATATGCTATTACAGAATACAGAGTGATTAATCAGAGAGGTATACATACATATATTTAAAAGGTTCGGATCTAGAGACATATTTTGGACACTCATTGTGTAAGGTCTTCGTAATGTAATTCAATGTTCCGAAACATTTATACTTTAGAACACATCTTTGCCAAAAAAAAAAAAAAAAAATAGACAAATAAAAAAACCATTAAATGGATGAATAAGGTTCTACAAAGAAACACTAATTTTAATCTCACTGTCATATGACTTCGAATTTAGGGGATTTTTGAAAGAGATGATATTTGAGGAAAGACATAAAAGATAGACGGTTGACTCATTAAAATACATTACGAAGTAAGACCACAAAAATGTGTGTCAAAAACGTGTGTCTCCTGATCTTAATCCATATTAAAAAAAAAAAAAAAAAAGAGGTTGGTAAGATTCAATTTCCATAAGAAAGAAGAAGAACAACTTACGTAGAAGGAGTTTACTATTACGTGATATTCCAATCCAATAACACATTATCATGTGAAGAAAAACTTACAAATAAACATTTATTATTGAACAAAGAGATGTCACATGACTCTAAACTCGTTTCATGTAAGTCATTCTAAAAAAGAAGAGACAGTAGGCTTTTAAGTTGGAGATTATTTAAGATGGGAGAAGGGGGGCGGTTGGAATTTAATGAGATGAACAACCACCATCCAGAATTACATTACAGATGAGATGGTTATTCGCTTTTAGTTAAATTGTAATTGAGTTTATGGTTTTAGGTCCTAAAAAAGCAAGGGGTTATCTGTTCCATGGGAAAAGTCTGTCTGCTGGCTACTGCTCCATCCAAAATTTACTAAAATGCTAAAACGAAATTCAATTAATTACATTTGCATTATTTCCTTTTCTTTCTCGTCAGTTTTCACTTTGCCTGAAAAGAGGATAGGATACGACTGTTTGCCAGGACAGGACTAGTACCCCGGCCCCATGCAAATGCCGATGCCAAATGCCAGCAAAAGATTCTATTGGTCCCAGCCTCCACACACCCCACTTCTGGGTTCTGGACGTTCTGGTGGTGTTGGATCATGAAATTATCTACCAAGCATGCACTGCATTCAACTCAAGTAAATTTGATCAATTGAAAACCTCGTGGATGATGGACTAGCCCCAAAATTTATGTTTGTTTTTCTATACTACATTGGATTCTCCTTTTTTTAGTATACTTCAGTAAGCTAGATGATATAATATGAGTTGTTAAGTTTTCCATTATAATGATTGACCAACTAAAGTGAATAAGTAAGGTTAAGACTTCAACAAGACAAGCCACTAGCTCACTGCTAACCAAACATACTAATATTATTCTTAACTTAATTACATGTGTAATCTAATAGGTGCGAAATTTTATTACAAAATACCTCGATTCACTTAGAAGTGAAACCATTTAATATAAATTGTAATTTATTTTGTAAGTTGAATGATATGAGACTTTTTACATTATTCAGCAACTTACGCAATCGGTTAAAGTTAAACAAAACCAAAAAAAAAAATCGTTTGATTAACACCAAACATGTCATTGCCACTTAGTACTATGATGTGGTGTTATTCATGCATCCCTTAATGTAAATATACCATTCTTAAAGAAACACCAAACAACAAACAGACCATTTACACAAGTCACGGTTTCCTTTTCTTTTGTTGCAAGTGATGATATGAGCAGTGAGCACCTTTTATTCCTATCACTCCGCTTTAGCTTCCGTCCTTTCAATCCACTCTTCAATTATGTTTGCTTTGCTTAATTTGCTCCACCATTTAAGAAACATCAAGCAAAAAGATGAATTGGGAATTTCCAATTATCACTAATCTAATCATCTTCGTGCATGTATTATGATTAATCAAATTTACCAACCGGATCCAAATCTCTCTTTCTATATAATATAATTACAACATGTTCTTGGGTGTTGAAAAGTAGTAGGTTAGAGACCACTTGCTAATAATCAACAATCCGCAAGGCTGTAATTGCGCTCTTAAGACTTAATTACTATCTCTCTCTCTCTCTTTTTTTTTTTTCTTTTTTTTTTTTTATGCTCCTTCTTGTGCTTTGATGTATGATGACATAAGTAGGAGTATGCTTGGTTTAGTGTTCAAAACGATCGTGCTATGTATAGTAAAAATAATACGTGAAGACCGGTGTTTTATACGGTAGTAATGACTGTTAATCTATCAATGAAATCACTATTGTTTTTGTCCAAAAAGTATAACAAATTAAGTGAAAGTAGGTCTTTCTTTGACCATATACACCTTTGCAGTGTCTCCTTTTAGGCTTTTAGGCTTTTAGCTAGCTGTTGAAGTCTTGTTCTTTGTTGTTGAAAGTTGATTGGCTTTTTTTTCTTTTCCCAAAAAAAAAAAAAAGTTGATTGGCTTTTATTCGCTCTCCATGCATCTCACGGCTCAAGGCTCAAATACTAGTACATGTGTACCATATGAATGATGATAATGATATAGAATTAGGGTATTTTTATTAGCACCTCACATATTGTTGAATACACCTACATAAAAATTTATTATTAAATGATATATACTTTTATATGAAATGACTATCTAGCCCACGAAAACCAAATTAGTTGAAGTAAAACAATCAAATTAGTTGAGCCAATAAATTTCAAGAAACAAGCTGCCAAAAACTCGTCGAATTCGAGTTGTTTAGCAAGCGGAGCATTTCTCTCATCCACCTGTCGGCAGCGGAGCAAACATGAAGTTTAACATTGTGAATCCCACCTTTGGGTGCCAGAAGAAGCTTGAGATCGACGACGACACCAAACTACATGCATTATGGGACAAGAGGATCTCACAAGAAATCAATGGTGATGTATTGGGCGATCACATTAGGAGGTATGTCAAAACCTACCGCAGAACATTCACAAACAAAAAAATAAAAAATAAAAAAAATTTCAGCTTTAAAAAGTAATACTTTCACGATAATTCGAATCAAAACCAATGCAATAATGCCTTTCAGTTAAAGCCGCTGAAATGTCTGTAGAAAAGGAATGTTTGATGTTTGCTTTTAATTTGGGTCTTAGAGATATTGTTCTCGAGCTTGACGCGAAAGGAGTGGTGGCGGCTGATATTACGTCTATGGAGGATTTTATGGGTTCAGAGGGTTGTATCATGGAGAATATACAAATGTTGGGGAAAAGTTTTGAATGTTTTTTTGTCAATGGCAGAACAGAGAGCTTGCTGTGGCTCATGAACTAGCTCAGTATGCAGTTCGTGCGGATGATTTTAAAT